TTTCGTCGGAACGAAGTTACGGGAAATCAATTAACAAACGGAGACGTAACAATATGAAACAGATCTCCTTCTTCTTTATCAGTTCTCTATGCCACCAGTGATACAAGTAGGCTCTACAACAGATTGAGGACTTGAGTAATCAAGTTTTCTGGATTGAACTTCCTTAGGTATCACATGATCTCTAAATACAATTCGACATCCTCTTTGGACAAACATTCCGTGATGTGGAGTCTTGACCTTACTAAATTGGATTCGACACAGAGTAGCTCAGTGTATAAGCTCTTATCAGTAGCTGACTGTATGTTAGAACGTTCTTGGAAAGACAACAAGTCCAACTGAAGTTACTTCTGTGACATCTTTATTGTCATTGTTATGTTAACAGTAAAGACTATAATATACTCCAGTACTGATAAAAGGGGTGGCTTCCAAAGGGCTAATCCGTGAAATGTAAAGAACAACGTGTGTCAGTCAGTCCGTGCATGTATGCATGCTAACTCACATGGAAACCTAGTATTTCTATTGGTTAATTGTACAGTGGTACTTTTAAATTTATAGGAATGTAAAAGTGAACGACCTGCATTGTTCTATACGAGGGCAAACCTACGATGCATGTAATACCAAATCTAAACACAGTTACTTCGGTAACATAAACAAACACATTAACTCAAGTTAAGTGTTTACTTTTTCGTGGCTTATAAATATCGCAATACCATTACATCTCAATACAAGTTCCAATAGTCGCCTAAAACCGAGTAATAGGCCTAAATTTTAAATATGCTTCGTATCCATAGCACGAGTCTTCCCGCTATATAATTTACGGCGATTAGCCTTAATAGTCGCTGCCACAACTTCATACATTTTCGATGCTCTACAGCTTACGTACTGAGAAAAAGAAAGGAATTACATGTTTCAGGTGATATACAAGTTCGATTTAGACACATATACACACAAGAAACTTACAGAAAAAGCAAACAAAACAACAACAACAAAAAAAAACAAAAAAAAACGTGACGATAGTGTCAACGAGTTTACCCGCTAGGGGAACAGATATTACGCCATTTCAGTTATTGGTGACAGTAAGCCCAACACTTTGTTAATAGCTTAAGAAAAAAAAAAAACAGAGTTGATACTATCATGAAAGGAAAAAAAGAAAAATATGTGAAATAGCGACAAATAAGACAGTTGATATTCACACTTCCTGATACCTAAATTTTACAAATTCACCGTGTTATAACGTCGCTTTATCAAGAGTTCGGTCAAAAAAAAATCTCGAGATCTTAGTCAAAGATGACTATAATTACAAAGACGAGAAGTTTATACAAAAAACGTTGTGCACGGGGACGCATTTCGTTTATTTTATAACTCCTATTTAGCTTAAACCTAAATACAACAGCTCCATATTGTGCTTAGTAGGGTTTAGTTTCATTCATGCCCGACTACGTAATACAAGAATAGCATTAAACATATATATGTTATTCCACTTAATAATGCTGCATATCTGAAACAAAATCTTGGCCTTTGTCTCATCTGCCACAGCACACGCTTCGCAAACTGGAAGTCGACGGTTCCATACAATCCACATCCATTTTTAAATTTTTCTTCTTTTCTAAACAATGTTTCAGTTGTTTGTCAGTACTGTTTTCGTCTGTCCAGAGTTTCATTACCACTGTTTTGTCAGTGTTGTTTACATATATCTAATTTCATTATAAAGTTGTTTGTCAGTGTTGTTTACATATATCTAGTTTCATTATAAAGTTGTTTGTCAGTGTTGTTTAAAGATATCAAGTTTCATTATAAGTTGTTTGTCAGTGTTGTTTACAGATATCCAGTTTCATTATAGGTTGTTTGTCAGTGTTGTTTACAGATATCCAGTTTCATTATAAGTTGTTTGTCAGTGTTGATATCCAGTTTCATTATAAGTTGTTTGTCAGTGTTGTTTACATATATCTAGTTTCATTATAAGTTGTTTGTCAGTGTTGTTTACAGATGTCCAGTTTCATTATAAGTTGTTCGTTAGTGTTGTTTACATATATCCAGTTTCATGATAAGTTGTTTGTCAGTGTTGTTTACAGATGTCCAGTTTCATTATAAGTTGTTTGTCAGTATTGTTTACAGATATCCAGTTTCATTATAAGTTGTTTGTCAGTGTTGTTTACAGATATCCAGTTTCATTATAAGTTGTTTGTCAGTATTGTTTACAGATATCCAGTTTCATCATAAGTTGTTTGTCAATGTTTTCTATTAGTTGTAGCCTAGAATGTTTAATGTAATTGTTCGTATTAACTACAACTAAAAATTTCGAAAAGACTGATATACTGACAAATTTGCCAGTGATATGTATTCCTTATACAGCAGATGTTCATATTTTCACAATAATGTTCACCAACTGACTTCGGTGTTCGAGCGTTACTTTGTCCTACTCCCTCTCTCTCACCTCGGCAGTTTTAACCAATCATTCTCTCTGTTTTTCACCATGAGTCATCCGCCAGTGCTTGCCTGCCTGGAGCCGCGCCGAGTCTCTTTGTTCGCCAACGTTACCCCTGCACAACCGCATCGAGAACGAGATTGTGCAACACAAAGATAGGAAAGAAGTCTGGTTGCTTTGTTTACAGTGAAGCCAGACTCTAATATAAAATTTCTTATCAGTCAGAACATTCGCATTTGTTCCATCCTCTGACTACGGCAGACTAGTTCGTTACCCACGTATGGAAAGATGGAATAACGAAATATAGAGGTAGGTTATTGCAGTCGAAATTAGACATTTTGATAACTTTAATAACAACATAATGCTGTTGTATCCAAGCGGTACTTTGTCTATTAACTGTCAGTTGATTACATTGGCTTACTCCTTTAAACCATATTGAGCAATAGGTTACTATTCAAATAATGAAACGTAAATTTTCTCAAACTCACATTAAACTTACGACAACAATCTTATTCACATTAAACTTACGACAACAATCTTATTCACATTAAACTTACGACAACAATCTTATTCACATTAAACGTACGACAACAATCTTATTCACATTAAACTTACGACAACAATCTTATTCACATTAAACTTACGACAACAATCTTATTCACATTAAACTTACGACAACAATCTTATTCACATTAAACTTACGACAACAATCTTATTCACATTAAACTTACGACAACAATCTTATTCACATTAAACGTACGACAACAATCTTATTCACATTAAACTTACGACAACAATCTTATTCACATTAAACTTACGACAACAATCTTATTCACATTAAACTTACGACAACAATCTTATTCACATTAAACTTACGACAACAATCTTATTCACATTAAACTTACGACAACAATCTTATTTACATTAAACTTACGACAACAATCTTATTCACATTAAACGTACGACAACAATCTTATTCACATTAAACGTACGACAACAATCTTATTCACATTAAGCTTAAAACGACAGCGTATCAATTTCCAGTAAAAAAAGTATTCATGTTAATCTTAATACAACAGTATGATATTCACATTAAGCTTAATAGAACAATAAAGGTAAAAAAATGCAAGTAAGTTAGTAGGGATGATGCGAATGTCATCCCTACCATCTTGTTTACATTGTTTCTGAAGGACTGATATTAGCCATCTCTACATTTACTTCCTTTTTTGAATGTTTTTCTTTACTTATTTGCTTGTTTTGTTTAATGCAGTGTTTCAATAGACATAGGAAGGTTGTATTTATAACCAACTTCTAAATACAGTGAGGTTCCAATTGTAATATTTATTGTTTATCTATTACTAGTTGATAATTCCAGTTTCACTATATACTTAAGCTTTTTAAAGGAACAATATTTTTTTTAATAAAAAACCTAACTTTAAGGGGTAATGATAACATCGTTTATACTAGAATTTTTTTTTTAAATTACTACTCGGTATTAATAATACTTGTATAAGTGGATACTCCGTTTAAAACTGTGTCACGTCAGTGAAATTGGTTGACACCATTGTTTTGGTTTTTGAGAAAAAAAGAACAAGAAATTCAAGTTTTTGCTATGATATTTACAGAAACTCCCCGAACTTGTGATCCAGTCATTACATAGATATTGTTATAAAAGGAAACACTGTAGAGTATTGTAAAGTTCTGATGACCTATTGAGGAGATATTTAAAACACCATTTAGATGAACAATCCGAGCCATCCCTACATAGGCAGTGCTACCGCCTGCCTGATTAACATTAAGCTGAAAACGATAATAAAAGTATCCACATTAAGCTTAAACATACATTAAAGGTATTAACATTAAGCTTAAACATACAATAAAGGTATTTACATTAAGTTTAAAACAACAATAAAGTCATTCACATTGGACTTAAAACAACAATAAAGACATTCACATTAAGTTTAAACAATAATAAAGGCATTCACATTGGACTTAAAACAACAATAAAGACATTCACATTAAGTGAACGCCTTTATTGTTGTTTTAAACTTAATGGGAATGTCTTTATTGTTGTTTTAAGTCTAATATGAGCGCCTTTATTGTTGTTTTAAGTCTAATGTGAACGCCTTTATTGCTGTTTTAAGTTTAATGTGAATGCCTTTATTGTTGTTTAAACATTAAGTTTAAAACAACAATAAAGGCATTTACATTAGAGTAAAAACAACAATAAAGGCATTCACATTAGCGTTAAAACAACAATAAAGGCATTCACATTAGACTTAAAACGACAATAAAGACATTGACATTAAGTTTAAAACAACAACAAAGGCGTTCACATTAGACTTAAAACAACAATAAAGGCATTCACATTAGAGTTAAAACAACAATAAATACATTCACATTGGACTTAAAACAACAATAAAGACATTCACATTAAGTTTAAAACAACAATAAAGGCGTTCATATTAGACTTAAAACAACAATAAAGGCATTCACATTAGACCTAAAACTACAATAAAGACATTCACATTAGACTTAAAACAACAATAAAGGCATTCACATTAAGTTTAAAACAACAATAAAGGCATTCACATTAGCGTTAAAACAACAATAAAGGGATTCACATTAGAGTAAAAACGACAATAAAGACATTGACATTAAGTTTAAAACAACAATAAAGGCATTCACATTGGACTTAAAACAACAATAAAGGACATTCACATTGGACTTAAAACAACAATAAAGGCATTCACATTGGACTTAAAACAACAATAAAGGACATTCACATTAGACTTAAAACAACAATAAAGGCATTCACATTAGACTTAAAACAACAATAAAGGCATTCACATTAAGTTTAAAACAACAATAAAGGCATTCACATTAGACTTAAAACAACAATAAAGGCATTCACGTTAGACTTAAAACAACAATAAAGACATTCACATTAAGTTTAAAACGACAATAAAGACATTCACATTAGACTTAAAACAACAACAGCATGATTCACATTAGACTTAAAACAACAACAGCATGATTCACATTAAAGTATCAAAGACAATAACATAATACGTCACCCGTATTTCCTTTAATGTTCACACGTTAGGAACACTAGTTAAAAGTTTCAAAGTTCTTAAGCTAGGAACACCGTTAATTAATATTAGCTTCCAATCAGAGTAAGCTAAGTACTTAGATAGAAACTAAAGATCAACCTATCCATCAGTATAGCTAATAAATATACTTTTTTTACGTGTATACTTATAAATATTATTTAGAATACATTGTTTCACAATATGGGTATCGTTGTTATCGATATTTTCGGCCGTAGTCCCAATAAGATTTCATTGGATTCGGCCAGCTTAGGAGATTTAGGCTAGTCCGAAATATATATATAAAAAGGTTATAGCGTTTGATATATTAAACAGCCTAACCAATACTGAAAGTAACAACGAATAGATAATACAGTATAATTTACTTAAGGAACACACAACACTATCTGTTAACTTCAAGTACTGTCTTAGGGAATTAATATTTTTTTGAAAAACATAACATAACATGCCTGAATTTTCTCCAATCCTCACTAACACATCTTTTGACTATTGAAAACTCATTAAGCCACTCCTACTGTCTAACGTTGGAGGAAAGTGACAACCTTACAAACACACACGTTTGAACTACATCGAGTTAGAAACATTAATTTACCTACGGTACAAACAAAACTAGTGTTTATTAAGATACCAAATAACAAATGAAAAATTAAAGGAACACATAGCTGAATTGTCCATGAAAATATAACAATTAAACGTAATCTAAAGAAAGCAAAATCCTAAGTATTCTATAAGCTATGTTTAACACTTTAAAAAACACATAGAGCTCACTATATTAAATCTTCTGTAAAAACCGAAAAGGAAACACAATAAGCCTCTAGAAAGTTCGATAATAAGACTGAGCAAGTAAGTATCAAGAACTAATTTAATTAAACTTATGACGTAATGTCACACTTTATACGACACTATTAAATAGCTAGTATTAACTATATTTTATAAGAACTTAAACTCACAGGAGGTAAAACCAGTGGTGGTCAATACACTAAAGATATCCACTGTTACCCAAGGAAGAGCGTAGACGTGAAGGTCATGACCCTAAACAATACCCCAATGGCGAATGTAGACGTGAAGCTCATGATACTCTTAATGGCTGGAGACGGCTTGAATGGGTAATGAAGAAAAACTTTAATATAAGTTTAACATAACAGCAAATGTAC